GGAACAGGAATCTGGTTCCCCCCCCCCCCGTTGCCTGAGGTAGAGTAGAGCCAGGAAATCCAAGGGGAGTTGGAGAATTGGAGGGAAAACAAGTTTGGCTTCAGCTGTTTTAAAGGTACTTAAGAGGCCCATAGTAAATGAGGCCATGGGTTGGGGAGAAAAGTTGTTCATTCCACAGATGCCTGCTGAAGCTCTGTATGCCAGGACTGGGGTTTGGCCCTTGGAGAACAAAGGTGTATTAAACCATTTCTTTGGTGTTTGTTTTATCAGGTAAACCGAGAACTAGATTAATACACACATCAGTGTTTACACCTGGCCTGCTTTTCTTTAGTCTGTTCTTTTTAATGAATATGTAGGCCTTGGCAGTTCAGCCACCCAGAATCAAAGCTAGAGTCGTGAAACGAAATTTTACTTCTTTTTTTTTGTTTTGTTTTTTGAGACAGGGTCTCACTATGTAATTGAGACTGAACTGAACTGGAACTCTGTGTAGCCCAGGTTGGTCTCAAACTCACAGCGATCCTCCCGCCTCAGCCTTGCAAGTGCTGGGATTACAGTGCCACCATGCCCGGCCAAAAGTTTACTTCTGATCACTTCCTTTGTGCTTCCTTTCTATTCTCTTCAACCATTTTCCCCTTGCTTTCATTTTTATATAATTTTATGTATACATCTGGGTATTTATAAGGAAAGTAGAAACATTGCTAAGTTTTATCCATGTTTCAGGTTATCCAGTTCATTTGTTTCTCCTGCTAAATAATAGTTCATGGTAGGACCCCCATTTGATCATTCCCCAATGGGCTATTAGTTATTTCTGGGTTTTTGTTACTTCAGCCATCTTTCCCTGGACATTCCCGTGTCTCTTGTCATACATAGGTGGTAATATAAACTTAGCGATATTTTGCTGGATCCTAGAGTAAACAGGTGCACAGTTCTCATAGGCACAGCTGTGCTAGTTGGTGCGGTGGTTGTACCAGTTTCCACTTCACATTGTTGCCAAAGTGCTGTTGGCAACCTTCTGTTTTGGACAAATGAATGGATGTAAATTGGGATGAAGGATCTTGGTCTCTAGGTCCCTGAATTGTGATGTTGAACATTTGTGTGCTTCCTGTGAGATATTTGTTCGTTGTCAATTTTTCTGTGGACTTCTCGGTGCTTTTTTTTTTCCAGGAGCTTTTTTGTTGTTTGTTTGTTTGTTTGAGACAGGGTCTCACTATGTAGTTGAGACTGACCTGGAACTCACTATGTAGCCCAGGCTGGTCTAACTCACAGTGGTCCTCCTGCCTCAGCCTCCCGAGTGCTGGGATACAGC